AGGTGTCTCGTGGTGTAATGATGAAGACTGCTGGAGGAACCCTGCCTGGAGCAGGACAGAGAGTGAGACCAGGGGCAAGGAGGTGCCTGGAGTTCTCTCATCATAAGGGGGTGGCAACCACACTATAACTCTGTCTACCACCTTCTAAAGCACAGCTCCTTTCCTCAAAACACAGTCTGAATGGGATGAAGACACATATCATCCAGAGCACTAGGATCACATTCTAGTCATGGTCAGTGAAAGCAGAGATCGCGAGTGTCTGTGGAACCTTCCAGATTGGCATACATCTTTGTCACATGAAAAACAGGCACTAGACCCAGAGAGAGCTTCGATATCTGACTCAGGGTCTGTCGAAACCTTAAGCCTCGAGGATACAATCCCATACAATCCTACAATCGAGGCTCAATCTTTTAAGACATAGAGGGCGTGACCCCACATTGAGGCTGGGTGACATGGCAGCATCTGATTGGATGCCTTTGCTCTACATTCCTAGAGGAGGGGTGGTGATAAGGCACTTTCTCAAGAAGTAACAACTGTAGACAACAGGGTATAGATGCTGAGGGTCAGGCTAAAAGCACAGTGGTAAATATTGCAGGTATCCTATCACTGGGGCCAAATCTCTTATTTCTAATAAATATTTTTTACTGACATCCCTTTGATTGGCAAAATTGTGAGGTTATGAAAAAAACAACACCAAATGGCTTAAAGAATCAATAGATAAGAATATTAAATTATACTGTATTCGGTATATATATAATTTAAAAATAACTAATGGCATGTGGCATTAATGTTTACTTCAATCATTATATTTATTGACCCTGTGGAAAATTGTTTCTAAACTCTTTCATTAAGTTCAATAATGTAGTCTATTATTATAAAGTATGCCTAACTAAAACCATCTGTACTTGATTAAATAAATGTGATATGTTTTTTGTGACATTGGTCAGATTTCCAGCCAACTGTTACTGTATTTACTATATTTAAGTCCAAGTTTACTTACTTTCCATCCAGAAGAATTCCCTTGAAAATGAAAAACATTGCATTTTCCACCTTTGTTTCCCTCTCTGACTCTGATAAGCTTTATATAAGGCTAATAATATTTTCTTTTTAAATATCATGCAACTGACTTTAGAATGTTATTTTTGGTTCTTTATGAAATGTTATGTTTCATTGTGAAGCAAGAAAGAACATTCTCTTAATGTGTTGTACAGCAGTGTTTTTGTTAGAAACAAAAACAATTACAGTATATCTTTTCATACACAGCGAGTGGAATACATAATTAATCTTTAGGGAGTATTATTCAATATTATATAAATCTGAAATTAACAAAAATACAGTAGATATATACATTTATTGAGTAAAGCTTCATCATGCAATAGAACAGGCAACAGACCTAAAGAAACCATACCTTAACAGAGAGGTGCAGCAAGTAATTAGAACCATTCATAAAAATAAAGCCCCAGAGCCAAAGGGATTACCAGCTGAACTCTACAGTCTAATGGGAAATAAAGCAATTTCAAAACCTATTGAAATGTAGAACAGAGTTATTAAAAACAGAAACCTACACTTTGTTCACATTTATTACTAAGCACTGCAAATATCTCTTTACCACCCAATAAGCTTGATACAAATTACACATTTTTTACCAAAGATTTAGCATCTTGGATGGATTTTTTATATCTAACTGTTTTCATATCTGAAAGATGCTTCCGTAACAGTTTAAAATCATGTTGGAAGACAATTTATTACCTAATTCACAGAGCAAATATAGCAACATGAGTGTAAGTATTAAGGAACATGGAAGGTATAATTATACAGTGAGACTTCCTTATCTAATTATAACTCCATGTCATCACTGGTTTAATGATTAATGATGTAAGCATATTGACACAGGGGCATCTGCTAAAATTATTTTGGATGGAATAAGTTTATATGTTTTATTTTAAATGGAACCCCTGTTAAAGATTTTCCAATTTATCAATTTATTCTTTTTGAAATTTTTGCAAAACCATCAGCACAAGCAGGAAGTAAAAATTGTTGTTTATAAAAAGAATACAACACATTTTAAATAAAAGAAAGCATCTTTTTACTAACTCTATGAGGTACTGTATAGTGTGACTAATCACACCACTAATATATACTGTAAGCTGTAATTTGGTTCATTGGGAATTTTGGCCCATATCACTTGCTTGATTAGAATAATGTATTTCCACCTATTTCTTCCTCCTTATACAAACATTCTATGTTAACCAGGCAAATATCCAGGTACTTCTCTTTCTTAACAAGAATAAAGGGAGAATTTGTGTCCCTCAGACAGTAGGTGTCGTTCATTTTGTGAAAGTTTGGGACAGGGGAAACCCCAATTCCCATCAATCTCCAAGTCTAGGATAAAATAAACAGGCCCCTAAGCCTCTATTTCCTGGCATTCTGTGCAGTAACACTCCCATTACCATTCCTAAATCCACTAACAATGGTGCAGCTTCTTGATTTCTCATTGGCTGGTTCCAATTTCTTCTCCATATAGGCCTGCTGTTGTCCCTTCAACCGTCAGGTTAAAGCCACAAGATAATTAAAATACAGACTAATTCCACAACAGCATTACAAGGGATTGTTATATTATCTTTTAAAATACACTCGTGCAGTTAATCACAACACTTTGCCACAGGACGCTTTTCGGATTTCTACTGTGGTAAACTACAGTATATAACCACAGTTGACTATTGGCCAGGGAGAAGAGGAGAACTCCTTAGGCTTGACAGTTGTCTCCCTCACTCCATCTTCCCCAACCCCCTGCCCTTCACACACACACTCCAGGCAATAGTTTTGCTGTTGTTAATTATCATGGATTGTGATAAATTTCCTGCTCTCCTGGGTCTGTCAACTAGGGTTCTGCATATAGGCCTGGCCAGTGCTGTTAGCTTTCAGAATCTGGGTTTTAACACAGAACGAACACATTAACTAGACGTTTGCTGAAAAAAACCTATTTCATTGTTTATAAAACGCTAACAAGGGCCAATTGGAACACAATTCTTGACCTGCAGCTCTATTTCTAGTTACAAGGCAAGATGTTTTTACTTTTGATCCAAAAACCAAATGGTGGAAAAACAAGCTGTGAAGGTTAAGGTCCACTACCTGCCTGGAGCACAAATAGGAAAGCAAAAAAAATCAAAGTCTATTACCACTGTTACCGCTCTTAAATGCCAAGGCTTAAAAGGTCAAATAAAAACACAAGCAGATCCATGCACAAATAAAAGAGCAAACAGTATCCATTTCAGTGCAAAGTAATCAGCCAGATAATTTTTAAACTTGATTGCTTTCCAATCTTTAACATTTCATCTTGTCAAATTCCAGCTTTCTGCAGGCTGTACTGATTCAGGTACAGACAACACAGGGGGTTTCCATCCCTTTCAAGCAGCCAATTAATCATTCAATGAACTACAAATACCAGGGAGGTATCCGACTGAAATATTCATTTATGCACAAAATATGCAAAAACGTAGAAAAAAGACAGAAATTTGATTAGTCATGGGCAGTGGACTATCACACACACATGGCTAGAATTTAGTGTGAATTAAATTTGGCAACTAGTCATCAAAATGGAACTCCATCTGTCAAGTTGCACATTGCTGAATGTCATATGTGAAATATTGCAGAGCACCCAGCAATGCAAACACAAAATATTATAGATGAATTCTGCTTTATGTCTTTCTGCGCTGAGACTGTGCATTGCCCTTCCAGTTTGGACCAATTACCTCTAACATTTTATATAATAATTTGCAATATTGAGTGCTGTGTAACATACATACAGCACTTACAGTACATACAGTAAATACACCAGAGCCACCTGGTTGTTTTCCCACAAAACGGTGGTGTACCCAGAACCATAAAAAGAGGTGTGTGGGAATCATCTCTCTTTTCTGAAATTTAACTACTAAAGTGTGTAACAATGTAAATACAAACAGTTTCCAATTTTTTAACTATACAAAAACCTGACCTCACTGAATAGATACCAAGGTTCAAAGGAACATATGTGCATTCTGAATTCATGAGAAAGCTTTGGCAAAGGATGAATTAGGTCAATGATATGTCCCAAATGTAGTGAGATGCATTGCCCACTGCAGTCGAAGAGAAACACTGCACTGGAAGAACAGCGATTTGAGTCTCACTTTTGTGAAACCCGTACTGTATGCATTTCCAAAGCTGCGGAGATAACAGAATTCTCATCAAGCTATTTGGTATCCAAAAATAAATCTTAAATTCCTGTCTGAATAATATGCGATTTGATTTGGACCTCTGGATGGTCTCATTGATGGTCAGTAAACAAAATACAAGGTCTTTAGTTTGAATCATTTAAATGCTAACACGCATTTATTCGAAATGGACAGTATTGTTAAATTTAATGGTGTACCCACTAATAAAGTCTGTGTCATACGGAAAGTCAGTGATTTCCTGCCTTCCATAAAGCCATGATCCGCAAAGTTTAAATCTCATTCAGACTTTTTCAAGTGCATGTACGATTCCAAAATCAAGATCCATTGTGCAAATCTTAAAGCGTTTTATGTTAACTCTGTATTTACATTAACAAACATCCTAATAAACACATTTAAGCATTCGGTGACATCAGAGGTCTGATTCGTTTGAAATGAAAATCCTTAAACGAGAATGCGTGTTAACAAGTGTTTTATCTAGTAATCCTTAACCTGAAAATTCAGAATTGGAAAATGAATGTCTATGCCTACAAGCAACGAGTGTAAAAGTTGAAAGACAAACTGAAGAATCCTTAGAGAAAGCATACGACAGATAAACCATGGGTAGGACAAGTAAACACATCTAAAATATTGGGAGGAGAACAGATACCAAGCGGGAAGACACAATGTAAGTCAGTCAATCCATTGGTCAGTTACTACTTAGAAATGTTTCCTGAAAAATAATGGACAGCCCAGCGCCAGATTTATCGATTCTTCATCTGTAGTTAAAATGAGTGCTGGTTCCTAGCTCGCCTATAAAACACTCGTGAACGCAGTGCGAGCTCAGTGAATCTGGAGTGCAGTGCGCAGAGCCGCCGGAGTGTGGATAGTACTGCGCTAAGGACCTGTCCAGAGAGCATCTCAGCTGGGAACATGAGAGAAGCAGAGAAACACAGCCCCCTGCCAGATGCTAGCAGCTCAGGTTCGCCTCACTTCTTTACATATTTTTAGGCGTAAAATTATATTTGGTAACTTTTACAGATCATATAGAAGAGTAATCATATAACTGCATTTAATTTTTAAACTCTAAACTCGAGCCTTCTGCTATATGCATGTGTGCAGGAATCCAGAAAGTGCTGGATGAGATTATTGGATGAAATTAGCTACTGGGAACCAAAATTAGCTAGATGAGCCGAACGTCTTCCTGTTGTTAGAAGACATTATTGCATATACTGTACAGTACGCAGGCACAGAGAGAATACACTACTGTGTTTAAAGGTAGCGTTGTACCGAACTCAGTCTTTCCATACAATACACCTTTTAAAAATTGAGTGTACTACAAAACTTTTTTCTGTTTGAAATTATTTTAAAAAAGAATATAGCATAATATTAATAAGGAATTTTAGTTACTTGGAATATAACTGTAATGTATTTAAAGCATACTGAATTTGAGACTAAATATAATTGCTTCCCTGCTAATTTACAAACTATGTCGACAGATAAAAATTAAAAAGAAAAAAATGGCAAGTACAGTATATTTTCTGGAATTTCACATAGAACAGTTCGTTCGCAAAAAACATTACGGCCCTTTTGGGATTTGGGGCCGTTTCCTTGTGTTTATACAAATGCGCTGTTTAAAATGTTTATTATAGCTCAGCAACAAATTGCACTACAATTAAAAACTCCTTTCAGTATGAATGAGCTGGACCTCTTTCGCTCAAAAGACGTATTTCAGTTATAGTACTTACAAAAAACAACTTGAATTAATTTTGGAATTTCAACATATTATTTGCACCAGAAAATAATAAAAAAATCTATTTCGTTATAGGTATTAAATCATCAGCTGCAGAATTACCAATTAAGTATTTTGACCAGCTACTTCTTTTCTGCTTCTTTAATTAAAATAGTTTTTGGTAACGAATTAGCAAATTATGTAGCTTGAAATTGAATCTGATACTGTACATACAGTAAGGTTTCAAACGAGTGGAAGCCATTTACTGTGGATCTCACAGATCAAATTTGTCAAACAAGAAGGATAATATTTTCTTGTACTTTTAGCTCAATTTACTGTATAATTTAGACATTTGGTTTTTCTATCTTAGTTTTTTTTAGGCTCTAATGTTTGAACAACATATCTGACTAAATTAGCATAACTAGAAAGATTAAGTGAGTTCGTGGACTTCATTGGGTTTTGTTTAATTTAAGTTTCCCTGAGAAGAAAGCACTGGAAAATACTTTATGTTTTTGAACTGATTATGCTTAGCACACATAACTGAGCCTAAAAACCCAAAAGGTTAATTTTAGCTTTTGTTATAACAAGCACGTTATCAACCGAAACTTTTACTGGCTATCTTATCAGATGAGAGTAGTGAGAATTGCTAAAAATAGTCTGATAATCTTTAATTGCTTGATCATTTTCAGTTAATTTTAATGTATACAGGAAATGTAATGCATCGCATAGTTAAAGAGGCAGTTATAAGCTATACAAATTTGTAAAAGCCAGCTTTACACAGGCAGCTTTATACTTTTAACATTTCAAATATTACAGTGCTTAGTTGGTATTGGTATGTTTCTGGAATCATTATAATAACCTTTGTATTGTTTTTTACACACAAAAACATTTATTGATTTTTTTTTATTTGAATGCTATGTTTTTATGATCAAAGAAAAGCTAAACTAACTCAGGAAACAATGTTTTATTCCTACAGTACGTTTTGTGCTTTAAGACACTGTGGTCTAAATCACCCACTTGCTGTGTTTTTTGGGAGAACAAATTACATTAATAGAGCTTAAAAAGACGTTTCTCTCTCCTTAGCTTTGGGGACTTCCTGAAAATAAATAGGAAGAGATCCTGTTTCAGGATACATTGCTAGGTAGGCTCCAGAAAGACTGACAGACTTTGTGGCAGACTGCAAATTGTGAAAAATTGGCTGTAAAGATGAAAGAGAGAGACAATGAAACTAGAAGACAAGTATAATTCTATCCATCTTATTTCTACCCATATTCATTTTTGAATTTTTGATGATTGTTACTTGGGTGTAGAAAAAGTAAAGGAAAATATGTGCCAAAATAAAAACTGTGAAATATATGATTTTGCTCTCACTCTGTAGCCACTAGTACATTGGGGGGATTGATTTCATGTCAGTCCTTCTTCAGCCTCCACTGGTCTAATTACAGTAGGTACTTCAGAGATACCCCATTCAGTTCGGCATGACAAATATTTTTTTTAACTCTAAAACACTGCAAGAACCAGAACACCTTGTCTGTTCTCTTTTAAGAAAAGATTTTGGGTATGGTATGAGTTTAGATGTATGGGTAAAACTAAATATTAGGAATTGCAAATTCTTTTGGAAATTCTTTATACTGTACACTACTAATAGATCATTAACAGTATGTTATAACCTAGTAAACTGATCCCTAGTATTTATTATGAATTTTATTAACATCTCAAATTTTTCTTATACTGTATGTAATCGATATATTAATTGACAATATAGCGTTTACCATGTGTTATGTGTTTGTAAAGTTTTCACTTAACCTTTACATTAAAACAGTGCAAAATAATTTGTGTGGTATTAAAAACTGCAGATGTGTTTCTTCTCATCATTTTTGGTTAGCGTTTTCAAATCTTGCATTCAGATGAGCGTGCAGAATGAAATTAAATACCTGTATAGAAGATGACTGATTTGTACCAAGCCTACTGTAGTATGAAGTATGAAGATGAATGAAAGACATTGGTATTTGGTTTATTATTTAGCTGCTGTGCAGATCTTTCAGCCAGTACTTTCTCATGCAATTCCATTCTGTAACAGATTAGGGGTACAGTGATATTTCAGTCTTTTTAAGTGTAAAAAACAGATCACATATTTCTTATAATGTGATCAATTTTTTAAAATGTTATTAGTTTTATTGGCAGATGGTATCTTAGAAATATTGCACTCTTTTGTATTACAGAAAAGTGTTTCAAGATGTTGCAAAAGTTAAGACATAAATTGTAAACAAAACTCAATGGATTAGCTGATAGCGTGAATCAGTGCCTAGATTCTGCAAGACCAAGATAAATGCATGCGAGTGTGTTTTTGAGAAATTGTTTGTTTTAAATAAATGTGATGTACAACAGTACATATCAGATTCATATGATACATGTACAGTATTATACATATACAACAATACCTACAGTATGTGCATACTTCTTTGATGTGTATTGTGTCACACCTTTTGTAATTTTAGAAAAGGAAAAGTGTCTTCTAGTACAGCGTTTCATGGTTTAGTTTGCTCGAAGCATTTCTAAGAAATCTTCCCTAATTCTCACATAAAGCTCTGTTCAGTCATAAGGTACAGTATCTTGTCCAAGAAAAGGCTAAGGAGTGCTTTAGGTTGACCAAACAGAACGACTGGTAAAGAATTGCTGAGGTTCTGAATTTTGTTTTATTTTTGATGAGATTCCCAAAGAGTCGGTTCTTAGTTTTAGTGATGGTGATATTTGTCAAATTGTTAAACTCCGTGGAAAGTATTGTTTTACCAAAATCCATTGGCATTTAAAGTCCGAGGTCATGTAAATGAATTCAAAATTTTGGAGTGCACCCTAGTGTGCAACTTTTTCCACCTTTCTACTTTGACTGAAGCTGTCATTCCTGCGGCTCATTAAGTTTGGAAGAGTGTGGGTCTTCTTTTATTTATCCCAAATCAGAGAACAACATGACAGGATACAATTCTGACTGCCGTTACTTTCTTTTCTCATTATTGTTAAGATAACCTCTAAAAAAGATGAAAGCCTGTTAGATGTTTTTGTCGTGTTTGAAACAGATCCTCTAGAACGAAGGAGGAGGAAAGCAATATGGCTGGTGGTTGGCATGCTGCTCTTGTCACTTCTTGTGGTGGCTCTTGGAAGCTTCGCTACGACAAGGACAGAAAGCATCAGCATAACTGGATACAGTTCTGGAGTTATAGTAAGTACTTACTCCTGTTCCAAATCCATTGCTATAGGAAGGGGAAAAAGAACTCCCTGTTATTTTCTCCTCTAGTACAAACAAACCAAATGACAATTCTGTTCTCGACATATGGAGCAATTTCCTTCCGAGAATGAGTTTGATTTTACATCTATTTAATGTCTCAGCAAATCTATTTCCAAATGCTGAATGTACTGGATTTTGATTTTCTGTGCAGTTTTCTAAGTTTTCAATTTACTGATTCTCTGCACTTGGTCTGTCAGATGTCAGGAGATTTCTAGACATTGATTCAAATTCCGATTGTACAAAGTTTAGCTTTTAATAATATTAATAATAATAATAATGATGTTTCTTTATTAACCCTTTACAATTTCTTGCATAAGGAATTCATCTTTTCACATACCCCAGCTTTTCTCCATGAGACACAGACAGGGAGAGAAGCCTGGGGTCAGAGTGCAGGGTCAGCCATTTATACAGCGCCCCTGGCGCAGTTAGGGTTAAGGACCTTGCTCAGGGGCCCAATGGAGTAGGATTCCTCTGCCAGCCGCTGGATTTGAACTGGCAACCTTCCAGTCACAAGCACAGAGCCACCACTCCGCCCGTAATTTTGCTGGTGATTTAATATCTTCCTCAAAAGGAGATGCTATATGTTCCTTTAAACAAGAGCTATATCATTTCTTTTCATGACCTACACTGTGATCTTGTTATGAAACAGCTTGTTTGTTTAAGCAAATTATGTTAAGCTTACTATTATAAAGCTTTTGTTATATTATGGAGTTTTCCAGAGAATTGCCATGTTTGATTGGGGCTGAAATAGTAATTACCCTCAATGCTAACTAAAACATTCTTTGTAGCTGCCAGATTTCATGAGGGTTACTTACACACAGACATGGGTTATCAAAACATCAAAGTTTCTCTGCCAAAATGACTTTTGTAAGGTGAAAGGAGATCTTGTCACATAGAAAATTGTAATTTTAGTATGATTTCACAAAGTAATGAAGTCTTCCATGAGAAATGTCCACACTTGTCCACACTAAGCGCTTTGAGAAGCCACCTTTACAGGCGCTATATAAAATAAAGTTTATTATTATTATTATTATTATTATTATTATTATTATTATTATTATTACTACTTTGCCTAGGATTGTAAGACCAATTTTCTATGAATGCCAAGGTTAGCACTCCAATATTCTCTCAAGAATGCACATGATGTGCACATCTCTCATATCTGGAATTAGTTTCTCTCATGTCTCTCATGTGGAATTAGTTTGGTTAAAAGCCAGGAAAGTGCATGCACGGGTGTTGATCAGAGCCATTCCATGACATCATTGTAATTTAGTATAAGCACAAGAATACATTGACATACTTCGACATCTGCTCCTCGCTTCCTTTTGTAACTGTTTGCGAGGGAACAAAGCAGCAAAGGGAGCACATACGCATGCACAAAATCAAGAGCAAGTTGCTGATGTCGAAAATTTATTTCAGTCTCCTCTGTAAAAGAGTTGCTATTCCTTGAACCGATGTGAATACTTCCTTTACTATAAAAGATAACCAAGGGGAAGTACAGGTAGGTAAGGATTTCATATCTTTTGGTTTTTTCCTGTTTTTTGAGACCGATCTGTACTGAACGACCTCAAACAAGGGTACTTTCTTTTAGATGTGCTTCGGGGATTGATGCTTTTTTTAGTAAAGACCACGTCATATGCAGATGAAGAAAATAATTCAATTACTGTGTTGGTTCTGTTACAAGGAAAAAAATACAAAACATCTTTAGCATAACTATCTAATACTAAGTGTCAGTGCTTGCATGGACATATGAAAGCCTGTGTAAAAGTTTCGTTAAGGTTCAGTTCAATAAGATGCACATTTTCTGCACTTATTCTTCAAACTGCACTTTCTTTTACAGTTGGCTTTTGGATCGTTTCTGGGAGTCTTGGGATTGTGTCTTGAGGAAAACCGGAAGCAGCTGGTAAATAGTGCATACTAATGAACGATAAAATGTCATTTGAGTCTTCAGCCTTTAATGTACATTGTTTAGAAATTATTCGTATCCAAACATTTTTTTTTACAAAACAATAATCAATGTAAAATGGTATTTAAATGAGGTTTTGAAGACTGGGCAATAATTTCATAATTACTTGTCTGCTTGCATGGCGTATTTTCCTAGGAAGTATTGAAATTGAATATTTCTGTCAGTATTGATCTGAGTACTTTAAATATATTTAAATTGTTCTTGACACTACCTGCAGAATTCATTAACCATAAATAATCAGGAACCCTGGGTGTTAAGACACTGAAGTATGCAAAACATTAAGCATCAAAGACATTACATATACATTATATAAAGTGCATGAATGTACATTTTGATTTTATGAATGAAAGTCAAAAATAATTACTGACAAAAACATTCCACTTTTGTCATTAGTTTCTGTTTTGTGGGAGATGACAAAAATGTTATGAAGTTTGAAACATCGGACAGATCTGTCTTAACTGTATGGCGGTAAATGTAGTTAAATACATATTTTGCAGTACTCAAAATATAAATACATAATTAATGCAATATGTGCCCATCAAAAGTTACTTTTGCAGTGGGAGAGCACTCTGGTGGTGCTAAATCCTGCACCTTCACTTAAATCAGAGGTGTTAGTCTTGGATTTTTAAAATTAGAACTAAAATTAATGTAATTAAAATTAATTAGATTTTTTTAATTAGATAAACATTGTATTTGACACTCTGGGTCTCATTTTCAGGAAGGTCATTTTAAGGGAAATAATATTAATAATGATAATGTTATTGGCCACCTAAAAATTCTTCTTTTTCCATCAGGGACAAAATCATTTATTCTACAAAGTTCTGTAAAGCTGCTGCCTGTGAATGATAACTGAAACGACATTAGACTTTCACGTTTCTTAACAAGAAAGGATTTTTAAAATTAGAACTAAAATTTATGTAATTAAAATTAATTAGATTTTTTTTAATTAGATAAACATCCTGTGCCATTGAGATCATTTTTATTTGACACTCTGGGTCTCATTTTCAGAAAGGTCATTTTAAGGGAAATAATATTAATAATGGTTTACAATGTGTTTCACTGGATGTTATTGGCCACCTAAAAATTCTTCTTTTTCCATCAGGGACAAAATCATTTATTCTACAAAGTTCTGTAAAGCTGCTGCCTGTGAATGATAACTGAAACGACATTAGACTTTCAAGTTTCTTAACAAGAAAGGATTTTTAAAATTAGAACTAAAATGTATGTAACTAAAATTAATTAGATTTTTTTTAATTAGATAAACATCCTGTGCCATTGAGATCATTTTTATTTGACACTCTGGGTCTCATTTTCAGGAAGGTCATTTTAAGGGAAATAATATTAATAATGATAATGTTATTGGCCACCTAAAAATTCTTCTTTTTCCATCAGGGACAAAATCATTTATTCTACAAAGTTCTGTAAAGCTGCTGCCTGTGAATGATAACTGAAACGACATTAGACTTTCAAGTTTCTTAACAAGAAAGGTTGTTGCAATGATGTGATTTAAGTAGCAGAACACTGAGACAGTGTACATGCAGAGCTGGTGAAACTTTGGAGAAAAATGAATTATTTGCTGTTTGTGTTGAGCTGATGCTCGATAATGTTTCTTTGGGGGCAAAATGTCTGGGGCCATGATTAAAATTAAAATACAGGAAAAAATGACGAATAAAATAAAAACAGCTTCATGGTTAAGAAAAGTTCAATGAAGGAACCTACAGACCAATTTTGAGAATTGAAATGCAGAAGAAAGCAAAAAGTAATTTTGCCTGGGTAATAGGTGGATTTCTGGTGATTGAAGTCCACTAAAGAGCAGCCAAGTGAAAATTTCCACAAGTAATCGATCCAGTAATGGTATCTAGGAAGACTGGTGGAGAAGATTTTATGGAATCAGCGGATACAACTGAAGAAACGTCTCACTGAGGTGAATATATAAATGTGGAATGTGTGTTTTGATAATTGCTTATAGGTAATTTTGCACGCAAAGCAGACTTGCAGTATGTATATACTGTATAGTGCAAAGTTTGAAATAAAGGAACTGGGGAAAGAGAACAAAAAGTTTAACTGCCTGTTAAACAATAAAAAACTTTGTGTGAAACTCGGGCAGTATGCATACAGTAGTTTATCAATGGAAGAGAATAAAAATTGAAGTTTACTAAGAGTGTATGCTTTAATGCAATTAAATGCTATTTTTAATGCACCTTTCAAACTCTGCAAAGCAATGCTTATTCATATGGATATTTTTTGATGTGCCGTGTCATCCCAAGTTGAGAAAAGAAGTTGCCACAGATCTAGAACACCAGTCTCACAGCCTTAATGAAACATCCTCGTCCTCCATCCTCCGCCTTTCAACAGCTGATGCACTCGTGGTTTCTGAAAGAGGAATCAGGCTCAATGAAACCCAGCTGGGAAGGAGGGAAGAAGAGTAAGGTGCATGTCCTGGGGTTTTCTCTGGAGAAGAAAAGATGATCCACCCTCTTTATCCTAGTCTTCCGAATGTCGGGATAAAAGCATGCTGCTGTCCACAGTGAAGGCTTCACAAATCCTACAAGAAAAAATGCAAACTATCAGCAGGAGCCTAAAGGCAGTGAATCCAATTTTAGAAGAACTTAAAGATGTCAATGTAGAGAGAGTGTTGGGTCTCCAGTGTACATGAACACAAGAAAGTAGACTGAATCAATGTATTTCTGGAGCAAAATGCCTACCCTCATGCTACCTGCACTAATCCACAGCCTTGAGCTGACACAGCTCCTGCAGTACCAACCAAAACCCAGCAGCTGCACCCAAGCAAGGTCAACCATGTGGCACAGGAGAAGAGCACCACAGAGGAGCACTCATGCAAGTGGTGAAAAGAGGAATAACAAGAGCAAATAAGCCCATTACTAAAATGTTTCATTGCATGATCTGTGCTAATATTCATTTATATTTTTATAAAAATGTTCATCAAAAGTACCTTAGTGCTTCAATAATTTCAATGTGCAATTTATACGATGAGCTACAAAATCCTTGGATGACTGCTTCATGCAGTTTCCTCTCCTATGCGCAAAGGATAACTATGTGTGGATAACCACGTCCTCCGGCAGTATTTCTTCTCCATCTCCATGCAAACTCTAGACCAGCCTGACTGGCAATAATGTGAAACATACAAAACTGCACATTCATTTTGTTATAATGTTATAATGTTATAATGTTCTTCTGAAGTTTGAGTTGAAATGTGAGCAGCGTTATATTTTATGGTCTGGTGGTGCTTGCAGGTTTAATGTGCATGTTTGGGGACATTAAGCATCTTACCAGTTGGTAAACATCTGCAAAAACTCATAAATGTACAAAGATATTATAAATAAAATACAAAATCTATATTTAATATTGTTGCTCAAATGGCAAACTGTGCTTAAAATACATCTGATCTACAAGGTTGCCTTCACTTAAAATGTATTACTTAACTTCCACCCTTTGTTTCGGAGGGAAGCAATGTAGTTTATGTCAGAGGTTATTTGCAGGTTCAGAGCGAGGCAGAATCCAGAATTAAATTCAAAACAGGTCAATATTACATCCATAGAAAAAGGATGTCATTGCAACATTTCAAGCAAGACTTCCAAATGACAATACAAGGTCAGAAAGAACATAGGATACATTTCAGTGCCATCAATCTTAGAAGATTAGTAGTACTAGAAGTACTAATAGTACTAGCAGTAGATCTTAGCAGAACAAGTAGTCCTATTGCCTAGCTGGAAAATCAATAATTTTAGGTGAGGCCTACCTTTAAGTGGACACTCAAGAGTTGTACACTTGAAAAACTCAAACAATACCCCCTCTCCAGCTACTTTGTACAGGTTAGCAGTTCTCAAATTTTATTTGGTCTTCAGGAAGACCTGAAGACGTTATTTAGTAAGTGCATTGGCTGTTGTATGGCTGTTTTTCAAACCCTCCGCATTATATGATGGCACCCTTTCAGTGTAGATTGCTCTCAGTCATCATGGGGATAGTACACTCCTCTCCCTAACTTTCTACATTTTGAAGTAAAGCCTGTAACATAGTGTGGCAAACTGCATGGTAGGCAATAGAATCATGTGTAAGAAAGTACAGTTAACTGTTGCTGCACGATTGTTTGATGCAAGATAGTAGGATATTGTTTGTTTTTTGAGATTGGCAACAGATTATCCATCTCTGGGAAAAGACATCTTTTTAACAATTTCTTCTGACTGGAATGAAACAATAAATGTTCTTTCTGGCAGTTGTTTCCACACCCTGTACAGAAATGGGATAGGTTTCAAAACAAACTTATAATCATTATAAGAATGTACTTGTTACTATCATTTGAGATGGGGAAAGGACCAACTATTTGTAAATTTCCTGCCAATATCTTGGCTTCACTTCTGGCTTCACTTGTGTTCCTAACAGTGGTGAGTTGTGGATTGTACTATATATTCCCTTAAGGGATCTGGAAACCATCAGGTGTGATGATGACGTACCTAAAGCATCCTCCCAAAGGTCGTACAGGATATTCTGATAGCCAGGCTTTCAAGGGAGACTTGCTTGGATGTTGGCAATTTGTAGGAGAATTGTCAGTAATGTAATACGTGTATAGGAAGACAGTTGTCCTGCTGCCCTGCATTGCTAGGTGTTAATAATAACAACAATACAACAATAAAACAATAAAAACAACGACAACATATTATTATTATTATTATTATTATTATTATTATTATTTTATTATATAATTTATATGTCTATTGCTTGTTGCCAAAGTAATTACAAACATTTACGATTACCTATTTTTAACATATTTATGCAACAGGAATTGCTAGAATAAAGCAGTTTCCTCCCAGCTACAGTAGCAGTAGCAGTGTCCCAAATTCCTACCTGGAATTTGAACCTACATGCTCTCAGCTCTTGAGTGAAGAGTCTTAAATGACTTCTCTACCCTCCACATAGAA